GATCTGTGCAGGTTATGTAATAGAACTGTCCATGCCAGCATTCACTGACATAAGCACATACTCATTCCAGGCACATACTGTACATAATTCAACACTTGAATGAATCCATATGTATTCACAAATGCAGCACTATTCAAATGCCCTCACAATGGGGACAAAAAAAAATAGACATCATACACACATCGTGAGTGTGCAAATGAACTCAGCCTCATTATGTCTTGATCTGTCTTTCCTCATAGTCAATAAGAGCAGAATAAAGAGCAAGATAATAAATAACTCAGAAGCCTACATAGGTATAGTGGTATGCACTGCTCTGCTGGGGCAGGGGTGAAATCCTCACACAAGAAGAATCCTCCGTAGGCTAGCTAGACCATCCCATTTCGTGGGCTTCGAGTCTATTGAAGGATGCAGCCTCTGATTTGGGACACAGCTAATAAAAACTAAGACTAGATAGACAAGACAAAACATAATATGATTGTGACACAGGATTACTGGAATACAGTGGATTACACTCACTTCGTGACCTAGAAGATGGTTGTCTTGGCTAATGGTTCTGGCAGGGCAGCCATGACGTGACAAAGATTGGGTTTGGTGGCCATGACGTGAACAAGCTCAGGCTTGGAAGTCATGATGTGAACAAGCTAAGGCTTGGCAAGCATGACTTAAAGAAACTCAGGCTTGGCAGGCACGACATGAACAGTCTCTGGCTTTGCAGGCATGAAGTGAACAGGTTTGGGCTTGGCAGGCATGGCGTGAACAGGCTTAGGCTTGGCAGGCATGACATGACATGACATGAACAGGCTCAAGCTTGGTAGTCATGGCATGACATGAACAGGCTCAAGCTTGGTAGTCATGGCATGAAGAAACTCAGGCTTGGCAGGCATGACGTGAAGAGACTCAAGCATGGCAGGCATGACATGAACAGGCTCAGGCTTGGCAGGCCTGACTTGAAGAGACTCAGGCTTGGCAGGCATGACATGAACAGGCTTAGGCTTGGCAGGCCTGACTTGAAGAGACTCAGGCTTGGCAGGCATGACATGAACAGGCTCAGGCTTGGCAGGCCTGACTTGAAGAGACTCAGGCTTGGCAGGCATGACATGAACAGGCTCAGGCTTGGCAGGCCTGACTTGAAGAGACTCAGGCTTGGCAGGCATGACATGAACAGGCTCAGGCTTGGCAGGCCTGACTTGAAGAGACTCAGGCTTGGCAGGCATGACATGAACAGGCTCAGGCTTGGCAGGCCTGACTTGAAGAGACTCAGGCTTGGCAGGCATGACATGAACAGGCTTAGGCTTGGCAGGCATGACATGAACAGGCTCAGGCTTGGCAGGCATGACATGACATGAACAGGCTCAAGCTTGGTAGTCATGGCATGAAGAAACTCAGGCTTGGCAGGCATGACGTGAAGAGACTCAAGCTTGGCAGGTATGACATGAACAGGCTCAGGCTTGGCGGGTACTGAAGGATTGTGGGGATCCTCATCCACAAACCCACAGTAAATGATGAGCCGCTTAATAGAAGGGCATGTATTAGGCCAGGGAAAAGTAAATTTTTGTTTTGAGAAATCGCTGACAAATGCCCGAAATCACAGGCAAATAGGTGCTTGTTCACGCGATTGACAATCACGCAGTGTGAATGAGCAAAGACATGATCTGAGAAAATTGCGAATGAGTCGCCGACGCCTGTAAGATATTTGGCATGCTAAATATCATGACCTGTCGGCGATTCAAATTCAAAAAATCCTGCCGTGTGAAAAGTGTTCTGACTGAAAACTACATCGGCGATGACCGACAGCCAATGAGAGAGCAAGATACAGGACAGCGGAATGTTCGGGGAGGAGTTAGACCAGAATATCAGTATTTTAATAGATGGGGAGTGCGGGGCACAACCTAACACGGGTTAAAGGATAATTCCGGTATTTAACACCTTGAGTCTATTTTGTAGTTTGTTTTAAATGAAATAGAGTGGTGGGCTTAGAAATTTTGACAATGGGTCCTGTCTCGACTTTTTGACTATTTTAGAATTGCATGTGAGAGCTTTAGTTTAGACTGACTGTCTATGGGCATTCATAAACATGTCCTTAAAACAACCCTTAACGTTCATTTTCAAAGCTGTATACGTAACTCACCGAGTGGTTGGTGGTGTTCGTTGATGTTCCGAAACAAGTAGCGTAGCGAAATACCGCTTCTGTCGTGTTTTATTTGTCATTTTTTTAAATTGCATTAATGTCTGCTGGAGGACTCAGTGCTCATTGATATTACTGCGCTAGGTAGGAAAACGGAAAGGGGTCTGTTTACATTTGGTTGTAGTCTTTTCGCTCAGTTCTCCGTCTTGCCATATTTGACTGTGTCTGTGATTTTTTTTTACGGTACGCTAGACACCGTGTTCCGTACAGCGTCCTGGTTGTCGCCATCAAGTGGTCGGGAGTGTGCTAACGCTTCAGACTCAAGTATCGTGTGGAAGTTTATTCGCGGTTGTGAGGTATCTGAAAAAATAGTTCCACAATAGCAAACAACACAGATTTAAAGCATACATTGCGCCGATATATTTGTTTTTAATCATCATAGAACACCACCAACCACTCGGTGAGTTGCACAGTTTTTTTTTTTTTTAAATGAACGTTAAGGGTTGTTTTAAGGACATGTTTGTGCATGTGTAACCCCTCACACCCGGGTCCAACTCGCCCCGCTCCAAGCGGGCTTCGAACCCGGGTCTCCGGCATGAGAGTCGGGCGCTCTAGCAAGGAGGCTAATGACTGCAGCCTCTAACGTCTATCGCTAGAGCGCCTATTGAGATCGGGTAGTGAGGTTTACTCGCACAGCAACTACTAGCTGGCCTCCGTTACACTCACCCCCCTAAACCTCACTCTCATCCGGGTCACGGCACCAATGTAACCCCTCACACCCGGGTTCAACTCGTCCCGCTCCAAGCTGGCCTCGAACCCGGGTCTCCGGCGTGAGAGTCGGGCGCTCTAGCAAGGAGGCTAAAGACTGCAGCCTCTAGCGTCTGTCGCTAGAGCGCCTATTGAGATTGGGGAGTGAGGTTTACTCGCACAGCAACTACTAGCTGGCCTCCGTTACACATGCCCATAGACAGCCAGCCTAAAGCTCTCACAGGTTATTCTAAAATAGTCAAAAAGTCGAGACAGGACCCACTGTCAAAATTTCTAAGTCCACCACTCTATTTCATTCAACCATTTCATTACTCACCCCTATGCTGTACCAACCCCGTAAGACCTTCGTTCGTCTTCGGAACACAAATGAAGATATTTTTGATTAAATTTGAGAGCTGTATAACTACCACATTGGCGAGCCAATGTGGTAGTTATACAGCTCTCAAATTTAATCAAAAATATCTTAATTTAATTTGTGTTCCGAAGACGAACGAAGGTCTTACGGGGTTGGTAAAGCATGGGGGTGAGTAATTAATGACTTAATTTTCATTTTTGGGTGAACTAACCCTTTAAATGTAACACAGACTTTTTACATAGTCAGTCAGGATCAAGCAGGTTTTCTTTCTGCTCTTTTTCTCTCGCTGCCAGAAGACGATCTCCTGCGAATTTGCGGAAAGTTTTGATTATATTTCGTGAAGATACTGGACAAAGAGTGTTTTGACACCATGCAAGTAAATTTTTTCATCACAGGTTTTTTTCGGTTTCCGAGTTGTGTGTATTCGTTTCCAAATCTAACTTTAAATTGCCTTAATCACTGTCTTGTTGGCTCAAACATAGTACCATTTTGAAACATGTCAGCAATTCCTAGCGACTGTTACCTAGGCTTAAAATATGTAATAAACAGCGGGGTTAGTTGTAACACAGTGTTACATCTAAACTGCAAATTGTACAATGATAATCAAATGAAAAAGGAGCCACACAACTTTTCAGGTTTGAGTATACATTTAACTTTGTTGGACTTTCACAAAAAATGTTGGAATTCAAAATGTTTAAAATTAAGTGTACTATGAATGATAACTTGTTTATTTATTAAAAAATATGGCCTGTTTTTAATGCAATAAACCCTTTAAATTTTTATTTTAAGCACATTTGTATTATTATTACTGTTATTATTGTTAATAATAATAATTGTACATGCAGCTGCCACACACAAATCTAATTTAATTGCAATTACAATATTTATAATTTTATTTATTATTATTTATTGCAAAACTGTGCAGCCCTTTTCTATGTCTCTATCGATGATATTGATCCACAATAGAAGGATGATTGGGTGAGGGATGGATGTATGGATATCTATCTACAGATGCACAAACAATATCAAACTATACAAATAAAATAGTACTGAATTATGTGTGTTACACACAAGTGTTACAACTAACCCCTCTGTCTGTTACAATTAACCCCGCATATGGGGTAAGTTGTAACATTTGCACTTCTGTCACTTTCAGTGCAACTGTACGAAAATGATAGGTCCTAGAAAAAAACTTTAAGTGTTCATTTGTAGCAGATGTGTATGTTGTTTGTGTAAAAAAAAAAATATATATATATATATATATATATATATATATATATATATATATTTACAATACCCACAGGGCACGAGCAAAATACTGTATCTGGTAATCTCCCGCTTTATATTAAACAAACTGTCAGAGAGTTGAGAGTGTACATTTGCACTACGTGCCTGTGTTTTTATCAAACAATAACTATATTTTATAACTATATTTTATAATGTAATATAATGTAATATAAGGCCTTGTTGAACAGAAATTGAAAAAAAAAAATCATAGCATGATAACATAGGCATTTTCACTTTTTTAGTAAACAAAAACTAAATTGTCATCAAAGAAATGTGTTTCCCCTTTTCCCGTGTTAGGCCATTAAAGGGTTAATAACGTAATGATATCAGTATCATCCATAGCCTGTCTATGATTTTACTGTCTATGATTTTAAGCAGGTTATGTTGAACAAAAAAACGACATTTTCCGCTCCAGGTCGACAGATGACAGCAGTGTGCCGGCATCAATAGTCTTTCCGGAGGAAACATTTACCAACAACTTCCGTTTCCGTTTCGCCATTGGAAAACGTTCAGCGAACACCGTGGGAACAGAAAAGTCTAGAAATATTTCAGTTCTTTTTCCTCCCCTTATTTACACAACTACCGGATTCATTTTATTTTAGTTATTTGGTGTGGAGGAAGAAAAGACGAGCATTTTAGATACCGAGGAAACTTGCCAGTTCGCTGTAAAACAGCTGAATAAAGTTAGAGGTAAGTGTGTTCGTTTCGTTTGCTACCGACACCCTTCTTTAAAACATTAACGTTACTCACAATAACATTAACATAACTTACTTATAACTAACAGTTACCGGCATTTGATTATCGTTGCTACGATTATAGTTGTTACTGTAATATAACGACGGCAACTTGGTTGTGCTGTCAATAACTGGACAGTATGATATTTTTTGCAGTGCATTTACTTTGGTAACATTCTGAGAGATTTAAGTTAAGTTTAGATCCACTTTAATGAACTTTTGAGGCCAATAACGCAACACGATTGAACGGAATCTTGCACAGCACGTAAGTTAACATTTCACTGATTCTAACAAGTAAGGGGTGACACTCTACAACATCTAGAGTGCAAAACAGACAAACCCACCCACACACATACACATACAAACACACTTTTATACACATACACACCAATAAATTTTGATTACAAAAAGTATGTTTTAAATTTTTAAAAATCACAGCTTCATCAGAATGTTACGAAACTTGGTGACTTTTATGGCATTATGTATATGAACACACAAAAATTGAGGTCATGATCTGAGCATGCTAAGTGGTCTTAAAAAAATAGTCACACTTGTGGTCTTTGGTCAAAAATGACCCCCATAGGAAATTAATGGGAAATTGACAAACACAAAAATGCACAATTTTTTTTTTTTTTTTTTACATTTTTTTTATACATTTTTTTTTAATAAAAAATCGTTTTTGAGATTGTTTCAACTATATATTCAAATCCACAAAAAAAATGTGTTCATAAACATCTGGGGAATTCACATGCTTCTCCATAGAGAGCTGTACATGCCATCTAGTGATTACACCATCAAAACATATTTTTGTTCTGAAGGCCTAGACTCTATATTAAACTAAAATAATATAATAAATAATAATAGATTTTATTAACGCACTTTTCATTCCAAAGAATCCCAAAGTGCTACATAAAAGAACAACAATAATAGCTACAGAATACTAAAAACAATAAGACAATCAGCATATAAAAGCCTTTCTAAATAATAATAATAAAAAAAGTACTGCATTCATAATTTTTTTTAAAAAAAAAAATATATAGAAATATATATATATATATATATATATATATATATATATATATATATATTTCCATGGCAAAATAGACAATAAATATTGCATAAAAATGAATAAATTCAATCAAATTGTCTCAAAATTCTAAATTACAAAGAATAAATATTATAGAACAAAAATAAATTGCTTTGGTTTTACTGGGATGGAGGAAATTACATTTTTTGGTGTCCGGTCACTTTTGACTGGGAAGATATAACAAGTGTGACTCCGAAACGAAGAGCACCTGAGGGTTAAACAAAATGAACATTTGGTCTAACACATTGGCACCTAGGCGGCCGTTCTCTGAGATTTGTTTTCATGATAATCGAAAATAAAGAGTTTTATCTCTTAAAACTGTTTAGCATATAACACTAGTATATAGGGGCAAATAATAATTAAAAATAAATTGCAAATTAATACCACTAACAAGGCTCAAAACAGTCCCACACTAACACAGTAACATAATGAGCGTCCTTGCATGCAAAACGAAGCATTGAGAACTTTATAAGTGTACGGACCGTTTAATAAGAATATATTTTATAAAGACAGTCCCCTTTGTGTATACAGGCAGTAGCCATCTTTGGAAAACTCTCGACAAGTCGAACCACGAAAGCTGTTCATACAGTTCAGAAATTGGCTGAACTTCATACAGTTCAGCTCACTTGCCACGTCATTCGTGGTTTGACTTATTGAGACCGTTTTCCAAAGATGGCTCCTGACTGTATACACGAAGTGGAATGTCTTTGTAAAATGTCTTATTAAATGTTCTCAATGCTTTGTTTTGTAGGGACCCTTATTATGTTACTGTGTTAGTGTGGGGCTATTTTGAGCCTTGTTAAAATGGTATAAACTAGCGATTTATTTTTACTTATGTTTTGCCCCCATATACTAGCATTATACGCTAAACAGTTTTTAGAGATAAAACTATTACATTCGATTATCATGAAAACAAATCTCAGAGAACGGTTGATGGTTCATTTTGCACCGGACTTCTCCTTTAAGATTAATATTACATTTTGTTTGTTTGTCTTTTAGATATTTCTTCAGTATGTCTCTCCCCAAGCGTGAGGTTGATGAGCTGAGGCCATGGGTGGAACGCACAGTAAAGAAGGTCCTTGGTTTTTCTGAACCCACTGTGGTGACAGCAGCGTTACACTGTGTGGGAAAAGGCCTGGACAAGAGAAAAACCACAGGTAAGATGTTTACCTTGTATGTATTCATCAGGTACTGATATAAGTTATATCTGTACCTGCTATTAGAGCCAGACCTATATATCGGCAGGCCGATATTATCGGCCGATATTAGGCATTTTCTAAAATATTTTTTGAAAAATTGTATTTTTTAAATAAGTTTTATTAATAAAGGCATAGAACCAGTTAATTTGTAGTGCACTGACAATAGTTATATATAATTAGTTTATTAATTAAATGAATAAAAAGACAAAAAGACCTTGCGATATGTTTAGTAATTGTTCCTGAATTAATTTAAAATTATTTTGAATTAATTAAAAATTATTTTGCTAAATTTCAGATCATTATATTTGTTTCCCTTAATTTTAATTAACATTATTAATTAACAATGTAACATTATTCTCATCTGAATTATGAATAATTGATTTCTGTATGAAATAGTTCTACCATTAAAAACACATTCGATTTTCTTTTTTAATCAATGTAGAATGTGTAAGATTAGTGCTCCGAGGACCAGAAATTAAAAACAATGCAATATGACGAATGTCCAAAAGATGGGACCCACAGACAGTTTTGAAATGGAGTTGGATAAATATGTTTTGCTTTTAAAACAGTGTGTGTGTGTGATTTTGGTTGGGTGACAGTTGTAGGTTACAGTTTGTTAAGAGTTTACAGTGTGACAAACACAATGTTGTGTTTTATTGGGAATGTACACAAATATAAGGACAGTTTTTGTTTCCACTATTCTATTGCGTCTCTCTCTCACACTCACTCTCACACACACGCATCTTGACATCGCAGCCTGTCCATTATGCGGTCACACCAAACGCGAAGAGCGCCAAATTCGCGTCTATCGCGACTAGTTCGACGCTTGTCCAAAACGAGGATGCGCATATAAAGCCAACGTTTGAACGGGCGTTTGAAATAACGCGCGTTCAGAGCATAGACGGTTCAGAGCTAGCCGATGGTACAGATTATGTGTCCCTAAGAACCCGCGTATCTAACAGTAGTTCCGCATTACATTAATTAATATGCACGCGAGTTTTATTTATTTTTATAATGTGTATTCTCTGTTTAAATTCGTGCACCGAACCGTGACGCCCGTACCGTTTTGGTTCAATACGAATACATGTACCGTTCCACCCTTAATACACACACACACACACACACACACACACACATAGACACTCTCTAGTTGTTTTTGTTGACCTTGCTGTTCTTTGCTATTCACCTAATCATTCGCACTGCATTCTTTTTATTTATTTTTCCATCTGAAGCTATAGCAACACCATTGAAAATATTGAAGGCCTAGTACTTCATGCGCTCATGCTACTTCTTACACAAAGAACAAATGGATTTGCTGCGGTTGCTTTATCACATCCAGTGTAAATGACATCAATGGCAGCACTGGTTTATGAAGAATTATTCATAATTTTAGAGCGGATGTTAGAGAATTTTATTATGCGGCTGATACTGATACGGCTGATACGGCAGTGATAATTCCATGAGACTATTTATTAATGAAGATCAATCCCTATCTTCTTTTAGACCAACTAAGACCGTTTCTTGATGATTCAGCAAGCAGCTTTGTTGAGCGTCTGTTTGAAGCTCTTGAGGAAAGCAAAAACTCCCGTGGCAATAAAGGAGCTGGAGAGAAGAACCGCAAAAGGGAACTAAAGGTAGAGTTTTCTGTACCTCCAATGTCTGAGCAAGAATGAACATTTATTAAGGAAATAAAGTCTGTTCTGAATCAATTTTGAGTGATTGTTTTATGAAACTGACATTTAATATAAGGAAAAAGTTATGTTTACGTAAAGTTTTTCTAACAATGTCTTCTTTTTTCATTTGTTTTATTTTTCCTCTCTGTCCTTTGTTTAGGAAGTGTTTGGAGATGAGGTGGAAGGAGTAAAGGATGGACACAGTGTGGATACAGGGGTAAAGAAGAAGAGAGTACCTCGCTTTGAGGAGGTGGATGAACCAGCTGTTTTACCTGGACCCCCTACAGAGAGTCCCGGCATGCTTACCAAGATGCAGGTAACACACACCATCAGTAAAAGAAGACACTAGACAGAGGTATCCAATGGAGCACATACAGGTTCACTTTAATAAAATGTTGACAATTTAATGTAATGAGTAATGGGATGACGTATGATTACTGCAATATTTAGAACATGTAATGACTTGTAAGCACTTGGGTAAAACAGATGTTCCTTAGTGCTGTACAAGGATGAAAGTTAACCGCTTTTTTTTTAGAGGACACTACATAATTGCTCATAATTTAATATTTTTGATGGACTGCCTGTTTCAAGTGTAAATACTATCTGTGATACTCTATTTTCAGATAAAGCAAATGATGGAAGCAGCCACACGGCAGATTGAGGAGAGAAAGAAACAGCTTAGTATTGTGGCTCCTGTCTCACAGGTAATAGAAAATACCAAACACCTATTTACAGCAATGGCCCTGTACTACCTGTGTGTTCAAAAGTACTCTAAGTAGGGCTGGGCGATATGGCTAAAAAAAAATCATATCTCAGTATTTTTTGTTTAAATGGCGATATACAATATATATCTCGGTACTTTCTAAATTTTTCTATTTAGATAAAGAAAATCTTTATATTTAAAAAAATATATATATATATATATATTTCATATTCTGCCCAATGATATCCTACAAACTTTGATACTTTGAACTTTGATTTTATCCTTCAAATGTTGATATTGAAGGATATGGAAACAAATATAGTTAATGTAATATAGGCTATGCAATACATTATGTGCAAAAATATTTTGTTTTTAAATTGACTAAAGGCTAAACTAAAAGTGAAAATAAAAACAAAAACATTATATTAGCCTGCATTTGATTACCCCATTATAATGGTCACTTTCATAAAAATATACTTGTATGTTTAAAATTCCACAAATGGCACAACAAGAAATATTTTAGCAATGTTTATTTTAGTCAGAATTGTTGCATATTATAGTACATATACTATTCTATTGTGCTCTGTCTTTTTGACAGCGGCGCTCGTTCACGGAAGCTTGAATTTTAGCGGAGATTGGAGATTAATTTGCAGAAGCTCGTCCTCTGCTGACAGTGAAATGGACATTTGTTTTACTTTCTAGCATTTACAGATGGAGAATATACCTGCGAAATTTTAGTTTAGCACTGAGGAAAGCACCACATCCCAAACACATTAAACAGCACAAGTATTTATCTGTCAGTCAGCAACAGTATCTGTCAGAGCATCTGACTGCACAAGCTGCTTTAAACTTAACTATATCTTACCAGTTATTTTGAAGCCCTTAATATAAGCTTGTGTCATGTTTAGGACAAATTGTAGCCTACTATGTAGCTACTTTCATTACAGCAACTCACACTGTGACCTCTACTATTTTTCAGATGTGCTCATATCAAACTTCTTTATCGATATAAACAATATTGCCTCATTCCATATCGTTTAAAAAAATAATATATCGATATATATCGTACAAACTCGATATACTGCCCAGCCCTAACTCTAAGGAATCATAGAAATACCTTGCATTTATTGTTCACTTCATTTATGATTGTTGATAAATTAATCACAGGTAAGTTTGTTTTTCACAATATAATATATGCACAATAAAATATTTTTTGTTAGAAGTTAAATGTAGGTTTAAAATTTTACCTGTAACTAATAAATGTGTACAGTAACAAAGTGCTTATAAATCATTTGCTAGCTATTAGTTCACAGTTAATTCATAGTTTATTAACTGTAGTCTTTACTTTAAAGGTACACTATTGCCCCTTTTCCACCAAAGCATTTTGAGAGCCGGTTTGGAGCCGGTGCGTACTCGCAAACCAGTTCTTTGTGTTTCAACAGCCAAAGAACTGGTTCTCGGCCAGGAAAATTGGTTCCAAAGTGGCACCAACTCTTTGCTGGACTAGAACCAGAGAACCGTTCTTTTATCACGTCACCCTTACGTCGCGCAATGTATATATACACACACACACATACTATTATTTAAATTAGCAAAATTTATGATGAGATGTGCTCCAGTTCTGTGGAGGTTTTAACTTAAAAAATCAATCAGCAATTATAAGCGATCAGCAATTATACATTTTTAATAATAAATTACTATTTATTTTTCTCTAACGATTTATTGAAGACAATTGACACATTAATCAATAATCAAAATAATCAAGTGTAGCCCTTAACTTTAATGTTTATATTAAATGTCATGTTATAACTGGTACAGAGTTGCAATGTTGTTATCTCTTATGTTGTTATTTTTGGTCCCTAATTGTCTGTCATTTTTGTCATCTAAGCTTTAAAAATGGATACCAAATTTGGTTCTTTCTCCTATAGCCTAGAATGACTCAATCTCAGACGGACTCTAGTTCTACACGTTCCAACCTCCCAGCGGGGGGTGCCACGCAGTCCATCGCTCCCTCTCAGGCTGCTAACTTCATGAATGACGCTATAGAGAAAGCCCGCAAGGCAGCTGAGCTGCAGGCCAAGATCCAATCCACACTGGCCATGAAACCAGGAATTCTGGGTGCTTTGGGCAACACAGGGCCACATAACCTGGTAGCCTTGGCCAACCTGCATGCCATGGGCATCGCACCACCGTGAGTGTTGTAAACATGTCGAAATTACTATCTTTCATGTACATAATAAAGAATATTGTGAAAAGGCTTCATGTTTCCTAGGAACATTTTTATTAAATTGCAATGTGTTTTCATGTTAAGGAGGTTAAAAGTTTTCTCGTATTTGCTTATAGTAAAGTGGAGCCTCGTGAGATTACAAAGCCAACTCCCCTCATTCTGGATGAGCTTGGACGAACTGTTGATGCCAGTGGGAAAGAAGTTGAGCTCACACATCGTATGCCCACTCTAAAAGGTACCACACACTACTACAGAAATATGAATCTCGCATTTTGTTGTTTCGAAATATATATTTCCTAATGTTTTCTTTTTTTCCCTTCTGTCTCTAGCAAACATCAGAGCAGTGAAGAGGGAACAGTTTCGGCAGCAGTTAAAGGAAAAACCCAGCGATGACCTTGAATCAACGTCTTACTTCGACTCACGTGTGGCCCTTACACCTGCACAGAGAGCCAAGAAAGGCTTTAGGTTCCATGAACAGGGGCGCTTTGAGAAGATCGCCCAGCGTATTCGGACCAAGGTGGGCAACAGTATCCCTTTTTTTATTTTTGACAAAAAAAAATCATAGATAAAAAATTTGAGTTGGAAAAAAAAAAAAAAAACGTAGCTCAATAATTCACCTTTGGCTAAGCCCTGCCCCCCTTAGTTACTGTTGCTACATCCGTCAAACTTCATCTGCGCTCTGCATGGCTTATGCTGTAACAGCTCTTCCTGCTGAAATGTTATCAAACTTTTATAAAGCACTAAAAGCAGCAAATAAAGTGTCCGATAGAAGTAGGCAAAAGCGGTTGCAATATGCATTCGACGGGTATATTCAAGACATACAGATGAAACGCAAGAAACAACAAGGCATCCAAAATAGAGGCAAAAGCATAACGTTACCGGTCACAGTCAAAATAAGAACCACCGCAGATCCTGCTAATCGAGACGGAGGCTGGGACTAACAATATCAGGGAGCAACACTGTTCATGCAAAGCTGGGTAGGTCTCTATTCACTTCTATAATCGTTATTACAAAGCAGTGTGTGCTAGCGAATCAACAACCTGTATGAGAACCGAAATCATAACCTAAAACATTATTAAACGGTCTAACGTTAACTAGTATAACTTCTATAGGGTTTAGCTGACTGAGGACATCCACACAGTTTTCAAAGTCGACACTTGTCAGGATTTTACTTCCGTTTTGTGATGGGGGGGAAAAAACGGACACCCCCCTCCAACCTCTCTGGGAAACGCGTATCTGTTTTACAAATGCCCGGGGCACAATGTTTAACCATATTTTGGATAAAACTACGACGGTAATAGCCTGCCGAGACCAAAAATATGAGACGCCTGTGTTGAAAGTCAATGGAGCGCTGTGAAAAAGTGTCCGACCTCTGTGGGAGCTCGTTCTTGGCTGCGCTGTGATTGGTCAATCTACATTCTAGGGCGTGGCTTAGCCAAAGGTGAATAGATGATAAATAATGTTATTTCCTGTCCTCAGGCTCAGCTGGAGAAGCTACAGATGGAGATTGCTCAGGCTGCCAAGAAGACAGGCATACAGGCCTCCACTAAACTTGCTCTTATTGCCCCCAAGAAAGAGATGGGAGAAGGCGAGATTCCTCGTATAGAGTGGTGGGACTCCTACATCTTGCCTTCCCACATAGAATTGTAAGAGTCAATAGCTTTCATATCTGCTACAGAAAATTATAAAATATACAAGACAGATTCAGGGGGGGGGGGAATTATCGTTCCGAAGTCGTATTGACATTATGAAGAATTAAGGCTGTCTTTCCATATAATCTGGCAGTTCATTTTGATAATTAATAACTTAAATGAGTGAAAGATCTGTTCTTTTTCTCAGAACTGCGTCTACAAACTTAGATGAGGTTGAATTGCATGGAGTCACCAACCTACTTGAACACCCTATTCAGATGGCCCCTCCAGGTATTCATGCATGCATTAAACATCAAAACCTTCTGCAGATAGAAACTGGTTGAATTTCAAAAGACCCATTGATCCAGATATTTGGTCTAACCTTTTAATGTTTCTATTTCTGTCTTTCTTTTTTTGCTTCTCTTTCTAAGTGGATACAGATAAGCCAGTGACTCTGGGTGTGTATTTGACTAAGAAAGAACAAAAGAAGTTGAGGAGACAGACACGTAGAGAAGGCCAGAAAGAGGTGCAGGAAAAGGTCCGATTGGGTCTTATGCCGCCACCTGAACCCAAAGGTACATCACCAGCCAGATTTAAATGTTTAATATGTCAAACAACCAGAATGTTTCTATTAAAGGTTGTTCACATCATAATTCATGAACACTTGGGTATATATAGAGAGTTTGTACAGTCATGAGAAATCATTTAATTTTAAAATGCCTATTTCCAGGCTTTGAAAAGTTTTGGAATACGTTTTTAAAAAGACGTTTAATACACTGAGCTAATGAGCTAAACTCAAAAGATCTAAGATTTTTTCTACGTAAACAAAAGGCCTGTCTCAAGTATTGTTCACAAATCTGTCTAAATCTGTTGGTTACCACTTCTCCTTTACTGAGATAATCCATCCACCTCACAGGTGTGGCCTATCAAGATGCTGATTAGACACAGCATGATTATAGACCAACGCCACTTTTGCGTCATCGAAGGGTAACGCCCCCTTTTGGGGGAAAACACCTCTATACTGTCTATGGGAAAACAAACGGATTCCCATGAGAACAGAACTCGCACTAGATCTGCAAAGTTTCTTGATAGCAAAAATGGCACAAACTTAAAGAAGCTAACGTTACTGAATACGGGGTTACAGAGGTGTCCCTTTGAAATGGTCGAAAACTGGATTAATGACCCCACACAGCGGCCAAATATGGACTATTCAGACATCTAACGATACCACTATCTCGTGGAATCGCCAAGTAAGTAGCCTTTTTTTTTCATTAACACTCACAGTATGACAAACTAGACGATGAATGGATAATATTTAACTTGATTTAAGCTATTGACATAGTCTAATAAGGTAACGTTAGCTGCTATATAACAGCTTAGTCTTTCTAATAGCTAGTCGACAACAAAACTGTCAATAGCGTAAATCAAGTTAAATATGATCCAAGTGACATGGCCTCATCGTCTAGTAGTTTGTCATAGGCTACTGTGAGTGTGTAAATGATAAATAAATAAATAAAAAAGGCTACTTACTTGGTGATTCCACGAGATAGTGGTATCGTTAGATGTCTGAATAGTCCATATTTGGCCGCTGTGTGGGGTCATTAATCCAGTTTTCGACCATTTCAAAGGGACACCTCTGTAACCCCGTATTCAGTAACGTTAGCTTCTTTAAGTTTGTGCCATTTTTGCTATCAAGAAACTTTGCAGATCTAGTGCGAGTTCTGTTCTCATGGGAATCCGTATGTTTTCCCATAGACAGTATAGAGGTGTTTTCCCCCAAAAGGGGGCGTTACCCTTCGATGACGCAAAAGTGGCGTTGGTCTATTGCACAGGTGTGCCTTAAGCCTTGTTCACACTACATGATTTTAAAACGTTGGGCTGAACTGTGTGCTTCACACTACATGACTTGCTCTCAGTGAAATCAGGGGTGTTCAAGTAGTTGAGCTGTTCACACCACACGATACAACGTGATTGATCCACAACAGGAGGTAACTCACTACACGAGCTGACGATGCACTAAATAGAGATACAACCTCGATCGGATGATAAGAGCAAATCATTTGTGACTCTAATGAGAGCTGTTTCAGTACTATGGTACGGTCTATATCCTGAAAATAATCAAATAAATAACGAGTTGATGACAACTCTGTCACCCAACGATTCTATCTTGTCTACAAACCACGTTTTGTCACGAAAAAACACGCAATAAAACTAAACAGAAATGATGCGAAACAGCACGTGCGCCAATACCCAGCGAAGAAGAGAACACAACACGTGAATATGGACTTCAGACAGAAACTAGTGCTTCAAACTGTTTGCGTGATGATTTGCTCTGAGGAGAAAAAAAGCAAAAAAAAAAAAGAAAACATAAGATTTACCCGGTGACTTCAACCCATGCGTTGCTATGATTGGCTGTATTCATGACATCACTGAGGTTGAGTCGCGTGACGGCTCTGGAAATCTAGCATGCTAGATACTTTTCTGGGCTCGGCGACGCATCTGCGAGTGTCTTCGCTGCGTTGTTGGCTCTTTAATATTACTAACAGATTGGCGAGCGTTCATCGCCCGCTAATCCCCTGCGATTTGCACGCGATAACACCCTGACCTGTCGGCGAGCTCAACGATTTGCAAATCGGGCATAAATCGGGCTTAAAATCCTGTAGTGTGAACTTGGCTTTAGGCTGGCCACAATAAAAGGCCACTCTATTTACAGTTTTATCACACAGCGCAATTCCACAGATGTTGCAAGTTTTGAGGGAGCGTGTAATTGGTATTTTGACTGCAGGAATGTCCATCACAGTTGCCCGTGAATTAAATCTTCATTTCTCTACAATAAGCCGTCTCCAAAGGTGTTTCAGAGAATTTGGCGTACATCCAACCGGCCTCACAACCGCAGACTACTTAACCACACCAGCCCAGGACCTCCAGCATCTTCACCTCTTAAGATCGTCTGAGACTAGCCACCCGGACAGCTGCTGCAACAATCGCTTTGCATAACTAAATTTCTGCACAAACTGTCAGAAACCATCTCAGGGAAGCTCATCTGCATGGTTGTCGTCCTCATCGGGGTCTCGACCTGAAATCATCAGTTCTTCGTCGTAACCGACTTGAGTGAGCAAATACTCACATTCAATGGCGTCTGGCACTTTTGAGAAGTGTTCTCTTCACGGATGAGTCCCAGTTTTCGCTGTACAGAGCAGATGTATGGATGTATGGCGTCGTGTGGGTGAGCGGTTTGCTGATGTCAACGTTGTGGATCGAGTGGCCCATGGTGGCGGTGGGGTTATGGAATGGGCAGGTGTATGTTATGGACAACGAACACAGATGCATTTTATTGATGGCATGTTTAATGTACAGAGATACCGCAACAAGATCTTGAGGCCCATTTTTGTGCCATTCATCCACGGCCACCACCTCAGGTTGCAGCATGATAATGCAAAGCCTGATGTTGCAAGCATACTCGCATGTCACCCATTGAGCATGATTGGGATGCTCTGGATCGGCGTATACAACAGCTTGTTCCAGGTCCTGCCAATATCCATCAACTTCGTAGAGCAATTGAAGAGGAATGGACCAACATTTCACAGGCCATAATCAACAACCTGAACCTATGCGAAGGAGATGTGTTGCACTGCGTGAGGCAAATGGTGGTCACGCCAGATTTTGACACTTTTTTTTTAAACTGCACATTTTAGAGTGGCCTTTTATTATGGCCAGCCTAAGGCACACCTGTGCAATAATCATGCTGTTTATTGAGCATCTTGATATGCCTCACCTGTGAGATTATCTCGTCAAAGAAGTGCTCACTAAGGCCTTGTTTACACTGCATGGTTCAAGTGACCCAAATCCGATTTTTTTTTCCTCTCATGTGGCACAGATCGGATATGAGCGGTGAATGTGTCAGCAGGAAAAAAACGCATGGATTCCGATTTTCTCAGATCGGATTCAGGCCTCATTCATATGTGGTAATAAATCGGATATGAATCGGATGCGTGCATTTGCGTGTGCCATGTAAGCAGACAAATCGGATATTCCCCAGTAAATGCGAGTCGTGCGTCATTAAAAACTGCACGATTGTAGGCGCGAGCCGCGCGATTGAAGAAAGGACACACACACAGTGGGGCAATGCGGAGGTTTCATGTCTTTTGAGTGTTTGGGACGAAGAGTGCAGGCAAAAATGCAGGGTTGTTACAGAAATAAATCCGTATTTGAAGACATTTCATGAGATATATGAGGCATCGTTTTAAGTGCTTGTGGCTACAGTGCCTCTCCTCTTTTTTTCTCCGCTGTACGAGACCAATATTTTGATGACTTGTCAAAATATTGTGGAAAGAAATTTTATCTGGATAATTTTATTCGCATCTGCATCCATTGAATTTCATGCTGTTTTACTTAATTTCCCGGGTCAGAACGTCTGCATTTGGTAGTTTCAGCAGTGTATAGTGTAAATGCAAAAATTGGATATGGGTCACTTTTAAAAGATGATGTAAGCAGGTCGTCAAAAAAATCGGATATAGCCAGAAAATCGGATTTAGGCATCAAGACCTGCAGTGTAAATGCAGCCTAACAGATTTAGATTTGTGAACTATATTTGAGGAATATTGGCCTTTTATGTACATAGAAAAAGTCTCAGATCTTTGAATTTAGCTCATGAAAAATGGGGGTAAAAGCAAAAGTGTTGCATTTATAATTTGTTCAGTATATAATAGCCTATATGTTTAATTAGGGTCTGAATGTTGGTGCGGGTATTGCACATAGATTTACTCATTTCCACATGTTTCGGTCTTGTAATGTGGGAAATTCACTATAACTTGTTGGTTAGATCAGTAAATTAATCCACACGTTCAGAATATCTTATCAAATCAGTCATTTAAAACCGTGTCAGTGATTCATCCATACCACGTTGTGTCTATCTGATGCACAAATGGCTTCACAATTTAGCACATTGTGTCTGCACTACAAGCGAGCTGCATGCTGAGATTTTCATGTCTTTAAGTCTTTGCAATTTAAACATTTAAGCGATTTTACACCATTATGTACTCGTGCACTCTGTGAGGCGTTTTTCTGTGCACTCTCAGCCATGTTTACGCATACACGTAAAGCCGCCTCACAAACAACTTGGGTGCTTCTCATTTCTTATCTGTGCATCCTCGTTTCCTTTCCTTGCTTCCTTTCCTTGCGTCTCAGCTCCACCCCCTGTAGGACGCGGGGGAAGGAAGCGAGGAAAGGAAAGGAGGACCGAGGAATCGAATAAAAGCTTTTTTATATACATTGGAATACTTGATCACTCGAGCGTCACTCCACAGTGTCATCAGCAGCGCTAAAAGGATCTGCCCTTATGTTGTTGAAGTTTGGTTATTTAATAAATTCATAATAAATAATAATAAAGATAGGCTATACTGTTGAAATATCTGAGATGTGTGGTTTATATAAACTGCAAAGGTAAAGTATAAATTAAAATGATTGTGACCGATGTGAAGGGGGAGGAGAATTTGCACGTGCGTCATGTTTAGTCAATATAACAGTTCCGCGTAGGATGCACCTGTGTATCCTCGCTTATGACTCCTCAGGAAGCCTCCTCACTCCTCGATCCTCGACTCCTCACGGTGCAATTAGAGAATTAAGATGTCCTTCAAGATGGCTGAGCTCGATCGGTTTCCGGGTCATAGGAGGGAGGACGGAGGAGCGAGGAGACGAGGAGGAATATTGAGAAGCACCCCTTGAGTTCTGTTGAATTGAGTTCTTTTTTGTGGCTTATTGCACTAAAATTGCCAAAAACTTGGCGAGTGTCCCCATACACCACATTGGTTGTCTACACCAAAACACTTGTCAGTATATTGAATCAGTACATTCACCCCACACATGCCATTCTACCTATTATTAAAACAAATCGTATTAAGTCATTCATTTTAGTTAAGATATACTAATAAATTTCAACATGGATTTTTATTCTTATTTTACATGTATGAATAGACTTTCATGGAACATTAGGTCATGAATATTACCTCAAAAGTCATGAATTTATTAGTAAAAATGTGTATGAACCCAGTATATTTTAGCTTCTACAAAGTAACCACTAGATTACTGCTCTGTACTTTTTTCTGTGTATGCAATCTTCATGCGTTAATGTTTGTGTGCAGTGCGGATCTCTAATCTGATGAGGGTTTTGGGGACGGAAGCTGTGCAGGACCCCACTAAAGTGGAGGCTCATGTTAGAGCACAAATGGCCAAGAGGCAGAAGTGAGTGGTTTTACAAGCACAAAGGATTGGTATCAAAGCCAACTGCTCAAAATGGCACATTTACAATCATTATTAACATGTACTTTAGTTTCCCTCACTCCACAACAAATCATTTATATTTAAGTGTATTCAGATCAGGAATGAATGTATAAAACAAATAAATGAAATGCGCTATACAAACAAACTTGAGCATTTCTCTCACCCGTCATGAATCCAAATGTGCACATTTTGCATGCTTGGCTTTGGAAAATAAGTTCTAAAATGATTTAAATTTAAAAAATGAAATTTTAACTCTTTGAAATACAGGCCTTTGTTCTTTCATGTTTGATTTGTATAGAATGATGTTTTATTGTGTATTCTTAGGGCCCATGAGGAGGCAAATGCAGCACGCAAACTCACAACAGAACAAAGGAAAGAGAAGAAGGTGAAGAAACTTAAGGAGGATTTGAGTCATGGAGTTCACATTGCTGTGTACAGGTACAAAACATGACTAATCGGCTAAAATCTTGCGTTCAGATTTTTAACTGCAGTGGAAAAGCAAACCATGCTGAAGCGAACCGCACCGAGACCTAGCTCGCCAAGACGGTAAAAGCTGTCGTTTAGCCATCACACGCTGGTAAATGAACTCAGGGAGCAGGTATTATCAAATTATACCGAAGCTATAACTTGAACGGATGATTTTTTTCGGTGCTGAGTAGGCAAGGTTTAGGTCTCAAGTTGCCATTTCTGTCAATGGGTCACGTGATACCCCCCTCGTTTTCATTCTTGCCAAACAATTAAATATGGTGCTACTTGACTAAGGCCTATTGTATCACAGTCCAAATTTGTACTTTTTCTTCACATTCAATATAGATTCTTTCTGTTTGCTCTCAAGATTTCAGCTTTAAGCTTTGTCAACTTTTAATTGCATTGTTCTTGCTGCTTGCACACAACAACATGCATATAGCATGGACCGTTTATATTCTGTTGTTTAATCAAGTGGTTTATCTGATTTGCTTGCAGAATCCGAAATCTGTATAACCCAGCCAAGAAGTTTAAGGTGGAGGCCAATGCAAACCAATTGTACCTTACTGGCACTGTAGTACTGCACAGAGACCTCAACATTGTAGTAGTGGAGGGAGGTTGGTGAATGTGCTATGGAAATCTCTATAGATTATCTTCACAGATGTGTTTTATTTTTATTATTATTCTTTTTTTCATGATCATTATTTATCTTTACTTGACTCCTTCCTCCCTGTAGGACCCAAGTCACAGAAGAAGTTTAAACGACTGATGCTGAGTAGGATTAAATGGGATGAGCCGAATTCCAAGAGAGATGGTAAGTGGAAATAGGAGTGACTGAAGACTAAACATTTATGGTCTGTCTTTTATTAGCTGTGGATATTAGCTGTTTTATTTGGAGCTGACCTTTGACCTTCCATGCTTTTTCTTTTTTTAGAACCTCAAGATTCAGATGATGAGGGTTCCAGGAAGAATAATAAATGCACCTTGGTTTGGGAGGTAAATGCACACCCGTTTCATATGTCATTAAACGTAACATTTACCAAAAATTATGCATTAATATCATTACTCAGCAAAAATAGATTATTTCTATTACAAATGGTGTTTCACTCAGGTCTCTAATCACCTTTATTTATATAGCTTCATACAATATAGATTGTTTCAAAGCAGCTTTACAGCAATAAATGGCAAAAATAATGATTTTTAATGCTGTAGACATTGTGATATGAAATAAATATTAAGTTTTTCTTTCCTTTTTCTTATTAATTCTTTGTGTACTTATATATATTATTCCTCAGGGTACAGCCAAGGAACGTAGCTACGGGGAGGTTAAATTTAAGCAGTGTCCTACGGAAAACATGGCTAGGGAACATTTTAAGAAGCATGGCACCGAACACTACTGGGACTTGGCTCTGAGTCAGAGTGTTCTGGAGACAACTGACGACTGAGATACAGACTGAACTCTGAAGAAGAAGAACAACATAGGAAAGTGACATGTGGACTTTACACTTTTTTTTTTTGAGAAAGAGAGAGAGGTGGAAAAGACTGGCAGAGATAAAGATGTATATGTAAATATAGTTTGAGTGTGTAAGAGGATGATTGTCTTTTGCATACCTGCAATATAGGTGTGAAACAATGCAAGGCTTAAGAAATGAGCTAGGATGTTTACCATTGTGTGTACTGCTACCGAACTTCACAGTGGTGGCAGCTTGAACAAGGATGGACACTGGTTTTGTATCTCAGTTTTTTTAATGTAGGCTGTGCATTCTTTGATGTAATGTGTGATTTCTACCTTGGATCCATCTGGTTTGAGTGCTGCATCATGTGTTCTTACCATTTTGATGCAGTCTTTTCAGTAACCAAGCCTCACCCCTGAAATAACTTGGTTGTTACTGTGTGTAGTTTGTTACTGATTGGACAGACATTTTTGAGAGCAGATACAAGACCATTGGTTTCACTTTAACACAAACGAGTTATGAATGAACGGAGAAGGATTTTTATTTTGGTTCACCTACTCAAATGTCCAATAGAAAGTGAAAGAACACATGGCTGCTTATGTTCATGGCACATTTTTTTTCATACTCTTATCCCCCCTTTTCATGTCAAGAATTCAAATGCAAAAAGTGCAACCAACCCAAATGCATCATTAAAGCTTAGGTGAAAAAGAAATTTCTTGTTTGTTTTGTTTGTTGAGAAAGTTTTCTTAATTGTAATATTTGTAATATATATATATATATATATATATATATATATATATATATATATATGCATATATATATATATATATATGCATATATACATATAAACTCAGCAAAAAAAGAAACGTCCCTTTTTCAGGACTGTGTATTTCAACAATAATGTTATAAAAATCCAAATAACTTTACAGATCTTCATTGTAAAGGGTTTAAACAATGTTTTCCATGCATGTTCAAGTTACCATAATCAATTAATTAACATGCACCTGTGGAATGGTCATTAAGACCTTTACAGCTTACAGAGAGTACGCACTTAAGGTCACAGTTCTAAAAACGCAGGACACTAAAGAGACTTGTCTACCGACTGTGAAAAACACCCTAAGAAAGATGCCCAGGGTCCCTGCTCATCTGCGTGAACATGCATTAGGCATGCTGTAGGGAGGCATGAGGACTGCTGATGTGGCCAGGGCAATAAATTGCCATGTCCGCACTGTGAGACGCCTACGACAGCGCTACAGGGAGACAGGAAGGACAGCTGATCATCCTCGCAGTGGAAGACCACGTGTAACAACACCTGCACAGGATCGGTATATCCGAATATCACACCTGCGTGACAGGTACAGGATGGCCACAACAACTGCCCGAGTCACACCAGGAACACACAATCCCTCCATCAGTGCTCAGACTGTCCGCAATAGGCTGAGAGAGGCTGGACTGAGGGCTTGTAGGCCTGTTGTAAGGCAGGTCCTTACCAGACATCATCAGCAACAACGCCGCCTATGGGCACACACCCACCTTCGCTGGACCAGACAGGAATGGCAAAAAGTGCTCTTCACTGATGAGTCACGGTTTTGTCTCACCAGGGGTGATGGACGGATTCGTGTTTATCGTCGAAGGAATGAGTGTTACACCGAGGCCTGTACTCTGGAGCGGGATCGATTTGGAGGTGGGGGGTCCGTCATGGTCTGGGGCGGTATGTCACATCACCATCGGACTGAGCTTGTTGTCATTGCAGGCAATCTCAATGCCTTGCGGTACAGGGAAGACATCCTCCTCCCTCATGTGGTACCCTTTATGCATGCTCATCCGGACATGATCCTCCAGCAGGACAATGCCACCAGCCATACTGCTCGTTCTGTGAGTGAGTTTCTGCATGACAGCAATGTCAGTGTTCTGCCATGGCCAGCGAAGAGCCCGGATCTCAATCCCAATGAGCACGTCTGGGACCTGTTGGATCGCAGGGTGAGGGCTAGGGCCATTCCCCCCAGAAATGTCCAGGAACTTGCAAGTGCCTTGGTGGAAGAGTGGGGTAACATCTCACAGCAAGAACTGACAAATCTTGTCCAGTCCATGAGGAGGAGATGCACTGCAGTACTTCAAGCAGCTGGTGGCCACACCAGATACTGACTGGTACTTTTGATTTTGAGCCTCCCTTCATTCAGGGACAGATTATTCTCTTTCTGTTAGTCACATGTCTGTGAAACATTTTTAGTTTATGTCTTATTGTGTTGACTCTTTTAGTGTTCATACAAATATTTACACACATTAAGTTTACTGAAAGAAAAAACAGTTGAAAGTCAGAGGACGTTTCTTTTTTTGCTCAGTTTATATACGTACACACACACACACACACATATATATATATATGTGTGTATGTATATGTGTGTGTATATATATATGTATATGTGTATATAGATGGGTAGTTGACGTGACGTGGCTTTTTCACCGTCACAGAAGATAAAAAATAATTAATTTCACATTTTCATCATTTAGAATACTGTAAATGGTTAAGCATTTTCTTGTTTTACATGAATTTATTGTTTTAATACCAGAGTTACTTTTTTTTTTTTTTTTACAACTTTGAGCCAAATCTCAAAATCGTCCTACAAATTTTTTTCATAAATATTACCCATAATTGTGCAGGTGTCTATTTCACTAAGTGGCCCATCATTTTCCTATACATACATTTCTAAATGTATGGGCATTTCATAAAGTTTGTCACAGAAAAAATTGTCCTTTGGTGTTACGTTACCTGATATTATGTTGGGCAATATAATAGACAACTACATTTAGTAGAAAGACCCCATTCAAGGTCATGTGACTGAAGACCCCTATGAAGCCCATGAGCAGTGCACATAGTAATTATTTCTCTCAGAATTGTTCAAATATTTAACTATGTTTTCAGACCACTGAAGTTGTTAAGTTTTTTTTTGTCCTTTGGTGTGACGCCCCTAAATATATTTTTTTAATTTAAATTTGTATTTTTAACAGCAGGACTATGTAATATTATGCAAATGTATCATGCCAATTGCTAATGACAGTTCAGCTAGCATTACCATAGTTATTAACATGCCACAAAAAGCTCAAATGTCCTTTGGTGTGACAGGAAATGTCCCTCGGTGTGACACTTTGGCCTGTCACACCTTAGGACACAGATGTCACACAAGGTAGCAGTTTTTGAGGGGGAATTGTCAGTTTTTCCACTGGCGAGAAAAGAACTCGAGCGTTATTTATGTTTTGATTGATAATGTTAGAAAAAATGACTGTTACCTTAAGATTGCTTTTTGTTTTAGATTGCCACAGTTAATTGTATTATCATTATTATTTTATCATTGTATTCTTATTCCCCAACAGACCAAGCATTCCTCTTGAATGGCATATGTACAACAAATTCATATGGAAAATTTGTAAATAATAAATAAGCTTAGGGATTTTCTATTTAGAAACAATTAGATTTTCCACCAGTAGTGGGCTCTTGCTCAATGAAAGCAAATATGTGCATCAGAGTCCACAGAAGTTAGTGTGGGAAGACCATAAAACACTGTGGAACACAGCCAAAGTCCAAAACCTGAAATGTGTGTCGCAAGGAAACATTGTCAAATCCAGGGCAGTAAAATAATATTTTTGCGCTCAATCCAAAATGAAGCTTTGTGGAGATGTGGATTAGCAGGGTGCAGTGCATCTGTAGAACACTGGTGTTGGAAACACTGGAAGATTTTGTTTTCTAAAGCAGAACCCTGCAAACTGACAAGACCCTAATATCAAACCATTTAATCTACAATTTAAAGTGTTTGTTACAGCACAAATATAACATTTGAATTCAAGATTTTAGCCGATTTGTCATGTTTTGTACCTGTATACAGCAATGTGTGAACCCCATGACTCAAATCCTCCTTAAAAAAAACTGGTAAAGAAAGCCTGATTCTAGTAATGCAACTGCAGCAATAGTAGTAAACTTTAGGATCAGTCCACTTTAAGATCGGAATAGTTAGAATTAGAGACCGTGTGTGTTTTCACAACAGAAATTATATTTGTTTTGGTAGCTCTTTAGTAGATGGATGGAATCCAGCTGTTATTTTTATTTTTTTATTTTTCAGATTCATGTTCAGCACTAACAACCTCAAGTGTTCATCTACACCCAGGCAAGACATCCTAGAATTCATCATAGGCTGTTCAGAATATGCCAAAAACAAATAATCATTTACTGCTAATGGGTGTCAGTTCGTGGAGGGTACTTAGAAAATGGATCACCTGGCCAAGCAGATCCAACCAACAAAAGGTTCCAACCAACAAAAAGAATATAATCAACCCTTCCTCTATTTAGTGTTGCCACCCCAACAATAGGTAAAAAAAAAAAAAGGCTGCATTACAGTTTACTTCCCCCTGTCTCCTTCATTCGGATGAACGTCATTGCTTATGTTGCATGAGTGCCCTATACTGGCAGAACCTTTGCTTTATATATATATATATATATATATTGTGTTGTGTTGCGGTATATGGAGCTGCCTGAAGTGTACATTTGAAGAAGTCTCGCTCCCTCGGTCAAACTCGAGGGAGTTAGGGTATGTCAATATAAACTTCCCTCGTCCAAATCACGAAGTGGAACGCACTTCAAAATGGTGGCAGGCCCAGTCTAAAAGTGGACTTGAACGCAGTCCTGGTTACAGAGACAGGTCTAAGGATTAGGCCTTAGTTTAATTAGGACAATTAATTTGCTTTAATAAATGTACCAGTGAAAAAACATAGGCGTGCATCTTGAGACAAAACAATGGCACTGACATTTTTATGTCTGTGCTTGTTGCTTTCAGTTAAAACAGCTAAAACATGCATTTTAGCCTAGGATTAGTCTTAAACCTTGTCTGAAACCGGGGGTACTAAATATCTAATTCTAGGTTGTGGCATGCTAGTTCTACATTGGTAGAAGCGCAGAAATGTTTATTGATACATGAAACTATCCAAAGAACAATCTACCAATTGTTATCCCTTTCTCCCCCAATGAGGAGCTGGGCCCAGAAGAATCATCCCTGTGGACATGATATCACCTGAAGCAGATAGTTGGCTCTGTGTTCTTTAGTATGTGAGAGAGATATTGACTGCAAAGTTTTATTAAACCACTCACACTGACCCTTGGTAACAGAGAACAAGCAAATAATTTACTTTCTTCGTCGTCTTAGGTCATTTGGAGTAAGAAAACAGGTCTGTGATAATGAGTACTGCAATATTGCAACGTATTTAGTGTAAGAGTTTGTCTGTTATGCTAAAAACAAAGTTGTTTAATCAATTAAAAATCTGTTCAAAGATTATAGGCCAGCCTCTTGAGAACTTGAAGCTTTATGATTCAGCTTATTATAACAATTCTCGCTAAGGCTGGCTAATAATATGGGTTCTAACCCTATTCATATTCTGCATAATGAGTTTGAATTACTACCATCGAAGCGGAGGTGCAGAGTTCCAAGATTCAATAAGGTGAGGCTCTTTTGTGCATCAGACTATCTCAGCGTTGAACAAAACACTTAATCAGAAATCAAGAGTATTGTGAAGGTGTTGTAGTTGTACAAGTGTAGTACTGTATATTGTGTATAATGCATGCATAATGTGTTTTAATGTATATTTTGGTTGTTGTAAATATAGACACTGTAGCTATGCAAGAAAAATGGTCAGACTTGTCTGACAATAAAGCATTAAATATGTTGG